CGGCATAAGCTACGTATGAAGGTTGAGAGTAAGTGGGGTAGATGTTCTGGGGTGGAGACAGAGATAGGGACAGGATGGGAAATATTATCGTGTTTTTTGACTGATTTTTGAGGTATGTCCAAACACAGCTTCTTTTCTTATTGCTGTTTCAAGATCTCAAGGGCCATAGCCTTTCTGCTAGATGACATCCACCCCGCGAAATGACTAAATTGCCCCTACCCCTCTCTCTCTCTCAAGCTGATACTAATTAAATAAATGGAAATAAATTAGTTGTTAGAGTATGAAAATAGAAATTCAATTATCCATTGTGTTGTATACACATATGAATTGCCACGACCCGAGTTGAATCCAATCCCGGATCGGAACTTGTTCGGTAGGGGTGAAAGTCGGATGGATCGAATCGTAATTAGCTTTTTCGGAAAATTTCCAAAAAAAATCGGAAGTAAAAAATCAAGTCCAATTCCAATTCCAAAATTTTCGGAATCTAAAAATTCATTTCAATTCCAAAAGGCGCGGAAACTTCGGAATTTTGGAAAAAAAATCGGAAATTACATAAGCTTTAAAATTTCAAAACTTAGCCGAAATTTTCTAAAATGTTCATAGTTTTTCGAAAAAAAAGAGCATCCACGTCGATAAAAGCAAAACTAATAACTACTAAATTTCAGTTCAAAAAAATAAATAAAAATAAAAACAACATAATATACAATAAAACTTCTAACAACAATTCATTATGTCAAAATCCTAAAACAAAACTTAGGTGTATTTTTCGAAAAATAAGTATTATATAATATTTACTATTTATAGGTGTATTTTTCGGAAAAAAATCGGAATTTTTCGGAATTAATTTCGGAATTAAATCGGATCGGAAATCGTAAATTCTAAATTTATTTTATATAATTCCAATTCCAATCCAAAAAAATTGGAAAATTTTGAAAATCAGAATTTCGGATGTCGGAATGAAAAAAATTGTTCCAAAATCGGAACTTTTCGTATCGAAACCGGCAGAAATTGGAAAATTTGTTCCAACTTGCACCCCTATTGTCCAGGATTAACGAGCCAATTAAGGTGGTGGTGTTTGCAATACTTTTGGAAAGTGATTATGATTTTTTATTTTAAATTTTTTTTTGCTCGAAATCACTTTTGACGTGTTTTTTTATAAGTTGCAACTTTTGCTTCTACTTGTCTAAAAATGAGTTGTTTTAAGCCGAAATAAGAAAAAACATTTATGGAACAACTTCTCTTGTGATAAATTGCTTAGAGTTGATTTTCCATGAAATTTGCAAATATCCTCAGCCTTTTAAAATAAACACTTAATATCGGATTACATCATAACCAACAACTTTTGCTAGTTAAAAGTTTTTGCAAATACCACCTAGGCGTGATTGGCCCATCTACATACGCGCCAGTTAAAAATAATTTCAATATTACCATTTAATTTGACATATATATTCACTAAATATATATTCCCTCTCTTTGCATAAAAATAATGTAATTCAAAATAAATAAATGGATCAAATATGAATTTAGATTATTCAATATTTGTCCAGGTCAATAATAAAGTTGTTCTTAATATAAGCTAACATAGACATTATTACAAAATTAGACCAAGCCGGTTCTAACCGGCAGGTAACGGTTATAAAAATGGAGGATCGGAAACGAACCGATGTTTCCGGTTCTGATTTGATTCAAAAACAGTTGACCCTGGTTCGGTTCCGGTTCTAACCGAACCGGTGGTCATGTCTACAACAAAATCTACAATTGAAAAAAAATGTAAAAAAAAATAAAAAAAAATGAATTATTTGTTTTATTTAGTCGGATCCGGGTAATGTTCGTACATGTTTGATAAAGTAGCCCATTTAAATAAGCCTAGTTACATTAAAAGAATGACTTGGAATTATTAGGCCTTTTTTTTTATCTATGTAATTGGGCCTTTTTGCATGACACGATCCATACTTTGTCGGAAGCTTAATCAACAATTAATCTATTTTTAAAGGAGAAATTAGCTTCTAGTCCCTTAGAAATATTTTTTTATAAACTAAAGGACGGGACTTTTTGCTATTTGCTAAAGGTCCCTTTCGGGAGTTTACTTAGAGAGTTTAGACTAAGTATTACAAATAGAGTTTATTTATAGAACTTAGTTTCTTTCAATGGTCATCTATCATAGAATACTTGCACGTCCGCAATCATCTCTCAACTCAGTGAACCAACAAAATATGTGAATATGGTTTTCCACACGACTATGCATATTGTGTGATCTGTGTGTGTCACTATATGGCCATGTGTGTGCGTGCTTGACTGCGTATGACTGCGTTTCGGCGATGGCAACGACGGAGAGCGGAAGTGCAACAGATCGTAAGGGTTGCAACAGAAAATTGATGAGGTGGTAGAGAAAAAGACCGGATAAATTTATTTTAGCAAAATTCGAAAATTTCATTGTCCTGATTTGTAAGGGTATTAATATTCAGGGGCTATTTAGCAAATTGTCCAATTTTTAAATGGTTAATTTCGTCTTTTAACTTAATTGGTTTAGTTAACGGCGTTAAATTAAATTCAATTTCCGTCTTGTTTACATCTGTGAGACTGTGAGCAAGTGTCTTCGTTGTTTGTTGGTCGAAGAAATCTCTGCAACAATTTTGGGGGCAAAGAGAGCGCGTGGCGTCAAAGCGTTAACAATCAAAACCTAGGGTTCCATCTACATCTCTCTTGTACGCATTGCTTTCTTAACCGGTATGTATGTACAGCCTTTTTTTTTTCTTTTTTCTTAATTTATCTCAATAATTGCTATTGGAAAATTATATATTACGATTTGTGTGTGTAAACATCGTTTCTGAAATTGAAATGGACGGTTCAGAATTCCAATCCCATTACCTAATTTTGAATAACTAACTAATTAATCAAACCTAGACTGTGTATTTTTAAGGTTTACTAATTCGAGAAATGAATGAATTGTTAGAAATTAGAATGGTGGTGAGTGAAAACCACAATCTAAACGATTTCACCTCATTTCCTCGTGTTATCGACAAGAAAAAGGATTTAATGAATTCATGGATTAGGAGAGAATGCTCGAAAGATACGTTTTTATATATATGTCAATGGATCAGAGTAGAGTTTCCCCTTTAGAAATGGAGAGCCCATCATCATTATCACCACCAACTATCTAATTACCTTGTGCCGTATCTATCTATCTAAATATTATATATATATCATGCAAATAACCGTCAATTTTGAATTCAAACGTTTCGTTTTTTCTTTTTCTTTTTTGTTGTTTTTCATGGATTTCTTAAACGACAACCTACATTTCATAAATAAAATATACATCTTCGTGTGATCTTGTTTCCAATACAAGAAATAAACGGAAGAGGCTTCATTTTCCCTCTTTCTTTCTTCCTTTTTTTTTCGTTGTGTATATATATATATGTGCGTGCGTGTGCTTGTGTGTTTGTGTTTGCTTTGAATAAAAGAGGTGATTTCAAGAAGACAAAATAAAAAAAATGTTGAGAATCAATATTTTGGGATTGATAGTCTTGTTCTTATTTTCTCTATCTTCCGTTAGGGCCGCTGTTACATACGATGACAAAGCGATCATTATTAATGGGAACCGAAGGATTCTCATTTCAGGTTCCATTCACTATCCCAGAAGCACTCCTGAGGTAAAAAAAGAATTAAAAAAAAAAAAAAATCTTCCCATTGCAGTATAATACTTGTCTGGAAATACTATGTTGTAATGAATGTTTATTTTCTTCTCGTTTTTCGTGGTTGCAGATGTGGCCTGATATTATACAGACGGCTAAAAATGGAGGCTTAGATGTTATACAAACTTACGTGTTTTGGGATGGGCACGAGCCTTCTCCTGGAACTGTAATTCATAAGTTCTTGTAATTAGTGATTATTTGTTTTGTTATCATCAGCAAATTAATCCGTTTTACACTTTCGCCCATGTTTGTGCAGTATAATTTTGAGGGGCGGTTCGATATTATCAAGTTCATCAAACTGGTACAGCAGGCTGGCCTTTATGTTAATCTTCGCATTGGGCCCTACGCTTGTGCAGAGTGGAATTTCGGGTAATACACACACGAGCAATTAGATTAAATCCCTTAATATGTTAAACTTAGGCAAAAAGGTGTTGATCTGTTAATACGCTCTGTTTTGATGCAGGGGATTCCCAGTTTGGCTAAAGTATGTACCGGGAATAGAATTCAGAACAGACAATCAGCCTTTCAAGGTTTGCTTATAATTTAAGTCCTAATTTCAAATTATTATTTTAAAATTTTACTGATGGACTATCGTAAAGGCGGCCATGCAAGGATTCGTTGAAAAAATCGTCAGCATGATGAAGTCGGAAAATTTGTTCGAGCCTCAGGGAGGACCCATAATTATGTCACAGGTTGAAATTGGAAATATTGTTTTTTTTATCCATCCGTATGATGCAAATTGTTTTTTTTTTTATGATGAATTTTCTTATTTGAATATTGCAGATAGAAAACGAATATGGTCCAATCGAGTGGGAAATTGGTGCACCGGGCAAAGCTTATTCAGCTTGGGCAGCAAAAATGGCTGTTGGACTTGATATTGGTGTTCCATGGATCATGTGTAAACAAGAAACTGCTCCCGATCCCATGGTCTGAATTTTCTCCCTTTTCAATTTTTTTTTTGTTTAAATACTTATTTTTGCAATTATTTGAAGGTGATCGAGAAAAAATATTTCGACATTTTTTTTCTTCTTCTGTACATGAAATGCTAATTTATTGTGTTGTGTGCTAGTACAGATAGATACATGCAATGGTTTCTATTGTGAAGGCTTCACCCCTAACAAGCCTTATAAACCGAAAATGTGGACTGAAGTCTGGAGTGGCTGGTAATTAAATTATATCTGTAGAATTAAATTTCTTTTGTCAGATTCTTGTGATCAATCAGCTTCGATTTCATGATATTATGTCTGATAAATTTTGTTAGGTATACACAGTTTGGTGGCGCTATTCCTTACAGGCCTGCCGAAGATTTAGCTTTCTCAGTAGCTAGGTTCGTCCAAAATAACGGTTCATTCTTCAATTATTACATGGTAATTCTGTTTTTCGTCCCTTTTTATTTTATTTATATTTTATTTGGTGGTGTGTTCTTTGGAAGAACTTTACTCGAGTGTTTTTACAGATAAAGAAAATCTTACATTTTACGACTTATATATTGTTCTATAGTACCATGGAGGAACCAACTTTGGTCGAACATCTGGTCGATTCATTGCCACCAGCTACAATTTTGATGCTCCGTTAGATGAATATGGTAATTAGCCTGAAAATCAGCTTAATATGATCTTCTGATTTTGTATTGCAAAAAGTTGTAGCTTAAATACACTTGTATATAATTCATCTATCTACTATGTATTAGGACTTCCAAATGAGCCAAAATGGTCCCACTTGACAAATTTACACAAAGCGATTAAGCAATGTGAACCAGCTTTAGTTTCTTCGTATCCGATAGTCACATGGCCCGGTAATAATCAAGAGGTAAAAACACTGTATTACTCTCTCTCTCTCTCTCTCTCTCTCTCTCTCTCTCTCTCTCTCTCTCTCTCTCTCTCTCGCACACACAGTCACACACACACGTATATATGCTAACTCTACCTAATGTCTGCCTAGGTGCATGTCTTTAAATCACAATCGGGCGCTTGTGCAGCATTTCTTTCGAATTACGATCCCACATTTGCAGCAAAATTGACCTTTCAGAATATGGAATATGATTTGCCTCCCTGGTCGATCTCCATTTTGCCCGATTGCAAAACCGAAGTCTACAACACTGCCAAAGCAAGTACAATCTTTTTTAATGTTGTTATAGAAGTTTATTAATTTTAATTTGCAACTATTATTATTACTGCAGATTAGCTTTAAGGGATCAAAGGCTAAGATGACAACTGTTAGCAGTGGATTTTCTTGGCAGTCGTATACCGAAAATACCCCTTCTGCTGACGACAAAGACACACTTGCAATGCAAAATTTATGGGAGCAAGTAAATGTTACCAGAGACTCCTCCGATTACTTATGGTATCTCACTCAGTAAGTATATTTAATTTCCAGCAAGTTTTTTCGAGTTTTCAGGCAAATAGCAGTAATGACTAATGATATATATATATATATATTTTAATTTCATCGTTTTACAAAAAAATTACGACTGATGATAGAGTTGAAATTGCGTCTGATGAGGGATTTCTAAAGAGTGGAGAATGGCCTCTTCTCACAGCTATGTCTGCAGGACATGTCTTGCATGTCTTTATCAACGGCCGCTTATCAGGTAAATCGAATATAAATATATTCATAATCTCGTTTCTGCTCATAAACCATATGCATATTATGTTTAAAAAACAAAAAATGAAAAAGAGAATCTCATACATTTCTTATTTCATGATAGGAACCGTATACGGCAGCCTGGATAATCCAAAACTGACGTATAATGGCAAAGTGAATTTAAGAGCCGGCATTAACAAAATCTCGTTACTTAGTGTTGCTGTGGGACTACCAGTTAATACATCTCTCACCTCCGTTTTTTTAGGCATTAAGATATTATCCAATCATTAATTATTTTTTTATAATTTCATCTCAGAATGTAGGCTTGCACTACGAAACATGGAATGCCGGAGTTCTTGGTCCCGTCACTTTAAGCGGTCTCAACGAGGGTACAGCAGATTTAACCAAGCAAACCTGGACTTACAAAGTTGGCACGAAAGGCGAATCGCTCAAACTCGATAGTATCGCAGGAAGTTCTTCAGTTCAATGGGTCGAAGGGTCCCTCTTAGCTAAGAAAACACCTCTAACATGGTACAAGGTAAAGTTTTAACGTAAAATTTAGTTATAAACTAATGCATTAGTAATATTTTTGGTCGTTTTAATTTTGCAACATATGTTGTGGTATTTTCAGACAAGGTTTGATGCACCGACGGGGAACGATTCGTTGGGTATAGATATGTTGGGTATGACAAAAGGTGAAATATGGATAAACGGGGAAAGCATAGGAAGACATTGGCCTGGATATACAGTTAAAGGCAAATGCAACGACGACTGTAATTATGCCGGAACTTTCACCGAAACTAAATGCTTAACTGGTTGTGGCCAGCCTTCTCAGAGATGGTCAGTGTTTTTTCATTTTTCTTTTACATAGTATTTATTTAATGATTTGTGTTATTTGAATATTGATATAGGTATCACGTGCCTCGTTCGTGGCTGAAAGAGAGTGGGAATATGCTTGTAGTGTTTGAAGAATGGGGTGGTGACCCCAGTGGAATATCCCTTGTTAAGAGAACAGCATAAACATGATATGCAGAATTAAACATCCATTTTAATAAACCAGACATATAATAGAGTTCTTCCTTAGATCTTGTTTGGTTGGTAAAATGAGTTATTGTTTTGGAATTTGATTTAAAATTGAATTAATCGAGAATTCAGCCAATTAACCCGGTTTTCACTTGAGGCGGCCCAACACAATCGGCCCAAAGAGTACAAAGTCCACCCAGTGATTTGAGAGCCGTTTATGATCATTTGAACTTGACCGTTGACTTTCAACTCTTTCGTCGGGACCACTCATTCGAGGTATTTCAACTCTCTCTCCTTCCCAACACTAATATTTGATCGCGTTCTCTCTCTCTCTCTCTCTCTCTCTCTCTCTCTCTCTCTCTCTCTCTCTCTCTCTCTCTCTCTCTCTCTCTCTCTCTCTCTCTCTCTCTCACTAATATTTGATCGCGTTCTCTCTCTATCTCTATCTCCACTCGCCGTATCACTGCATTGAATTCTCCTTGGCATCTTCTAGCGACACATCACTATGACGATGGTTGTACTACTTAATGCTCTCTATTCTGGAGACGATCTTACTTTTCCATCCATATAATAAACCATTCAGATGTAAGACACGTACAAATTTGAATGTCCTTCGAGTTCTAGATTTCACTCCCGTGTGAGCGTGAGACCCATTTTTTCGTGTGAGGAACAAGATAGTGTACTGGGTTGTCGGTGCCACCGCCGGGGGATATCCAGACGAGAAAGAAAAAATATAAAACACTGTTTTTTTCTAATAGAAGAAAAACTAGGTGTAGTGGGCTTGGCCCATTTTACTTGCATATGGGCCTAATATGGGCCTCAACAAAAACAGCCCTAGTCGGTTATAATTAACCGATTTTAATCCAAATTTGACATAGTTGGTGGAAGTTTGTCGTTATTAAAACTAAGATGGACTTTTTCGTAATTTGAACATACCTCGGGGTGACAGTAATTTGCCTATTTATAATTACCTTTTTGAAACAGCAATTATCCCAAGGAAAATAAAAAGCGGAATTACCGGATAATTGGTCAATCATTTTTACCAGTAAACCTGGAATTATTAACTGTTTAGAATTTACCGCGAAGGTAAAACCGAAAGGAAACATTTTGTGGCTCAAGAACTACAATTATTGAATCATGTGCCAAATCAAACACTTTATTCCACCTAAATTTCATTAACATGATTATTTATTTATTTAATTTTATTTTTTATGTCGAAATAGTCAGATGCATTATAGCTTGGGTCACAATGCTAATTAATTAATCATTTAATTTTTTTTTAATTAAATTTAGTACGACTTACTTGTGCAATAAATGCTATTAATTTAAGAATTTAAAATATAAATGTGTCCTAATTAAAAACAGAAAAACCTTTCACCAAACTTCAATATAAATAAATTATCAATTAAATTTATTTGAAAGTGAGTAATTAATTGCACTCTACGATGTTGTATCACTCACCTCGAGGTTAATTAAACGGAGATTGGATGGAAACACAAGAGTAGATCTCTGCACGTGGGTAGATGATCCGATCAAGTAGAACGAACACTAGATTCACAAACCTGCAAAACTAAAGCACGTGAACGAAGCTCAAATACTCAATTTCTTACTCGATTGACCCGATAAGGCATATCACTCTACAAGAGAAAACAAAAGTTCAATTTTCCACACAATCAAAGATGGGATTATTCCAAACAAAATTAAATGTGCATAAAATCATTCAAAATAGTGTATGCTTTTTTCATAATCAAACAAGAAAGGGGGGAAAAATATAAAGAAATGATGGAGACTAGGGTGAAAATATAGTGATGAAAAGTGTGTAACAATAGTTAAGGAGGATAAAACGACAAAGTATTGATAGTTAATTAGATCACATCCTTTCAACCAATCCCATCATTTTCATTTCTATTGCTCTCAATCAATGTCTACTTACAAACACACCCACACACACACACTCTCCCTAGTTTACACATTCTTTTAATGTCTCTATACATTAATTACGTCCACTAAAGGAAAATGTGACAAAACCCCTCTCTCTCTCTCTCTCAATCTCTCCCTCTCTAAATCTTTTTTCTTCATATTTATATTTGTATGTGTTTGTATATATTTATAGATTTAATGTGGATTATTAAATTTAAATGAAAAGATACAGTAGTAGGTTTTTTTTTCCACCAACGAGACCATCTTTTACGAGCAATTTTACGAGTTTTATAATTGTATGTGTGTGTGTGAGAGAAGTTTTATTTATAGGGTGAAGCAATATTTGGAACTCAAGAATGAATTTGACTTCTTTTGTGATTAAGGCATTGATAATGATGCATCAAACTTAGTCATATATCTAATGCTAATTAATGATGCATTTGGTAGATCCAAAACCTAATTTAAATGATATTTTTCTATGCAATGCTATCATTAATTAATTGGACAACTAGTGATATTATATGTATATCAAGCTATGTATCTATCTATCTATTATTCACTTTCTTTCCCATCTAAATTAAATTGTCCATCAATGAATTATTGCCTTTCAATGGCTTTGTCCATAATATATATATTTGGTCAATTTTATTTGTGGGTGTATTGGCAATAATGATAACATTAAGGATAATAAAAAAAATAAGAAAATAAAGAAGAAAGTGTTCTTCAACTCCTTAAGAAAGTTGGAAGCTAAAAAGATAAAGGATCTTGATAAGTGATAACTAATCTCTTTAGACTCACCTTTGAAGCATTTTACATTTCAAGACTTTATTCCTTTTTTTTTTAAATCATTTTTAATTAATCCTCGAGGCTTACATATCTTCACTCTTTTCTATGAAGATTTTTTTTAATGAACTAGCAGCCAATTATATAAGTGCATTGAGTAAATTTACACTCTCATATAATAGTTTGCAGAATCATACGAGAGACGTCAACCACAGTAAGTTGTTGACAAGGGAATTCAAATTTGAATCAATTGGCACAAGTGTACTTACTCCAACCGTTAGACCATTCTTGCGGATCAGTTCTACGAAGATTTAGATACATAAAGGTTACATGTAGCTTTGATTAATGTAATTAATTAAATGATTGATTGATTAACAGTAATTTATTAATTGATCGATTAATTAATTAATTAATTAATTAATGTATGAACGTAGCTTTGGTACTTTAGTTGCAACTACTAGTGTAGAGTTAATGGTCATTAGAATTTAATACATGATTAATGAGTAGCATGCCCTTTCGTGTAGTTTTAATTAAATTATTTTGTTGCATTAATTCCAACTCCCAACCAAAACTTGTACGAAGATATTGGGGGCTTAGTGAGTGATTATCTGATTTACTGTTTAAATTCAACCATTGTAAATAATCAGACGTAGCATCCAACTCCCCCATTGAATTTGATTTGAACTCTCATATTTATAGGTTCATAAATTGGAGGATTTCTCATATAGAATGGACCAATTGAACCTCTTTAGCAAATCCCGACTAGTCACATCATATTTTAACTGTGCTCCATAAATTATATTCATATTCTTATTTACCGAACGAACAATCTTTTCTTAATTTAATATATTTTGCATATTTACGCGTCGAATTGGATAAAAATAAAAAATATTAATTTCTCATATGAGGATATTTTAAACAATAAGTAAATTGTCCAAAATAATTCATAATCTCAAAACACTAATTCATTCTATTGCAAGTGTTGAGTCTGGTGGGCCGTCGTTTAGTTTGATAATTTGCATGTGAGGTTGTTGACAGGCACTATCAATCTATTTTTCATTCTTGTTCTTCACCATTTCATTTTATTTTATTTCCTTTTTTTTTTTTTAAATTAATTTTTTTTAAAATCGTAATTATTTTCAAAAAAAAATGTTGTTTAAGAAACTCTAATGTGAAAAACCTCGTATATACCTCATTTATAATAATTCACCTAGCACAATATAATAATAGCAAAGCTCAACCCATGTCAAATCTATTAATTGTATTCCTATTTCTTGCTTTTGTGACACGGGATTTCCCCTCGTAGACTCTTTCGATTTTGGTGCTTAATATATTTTCTTTATTTATCAAAAATAAAAAAAACAAGCTCAACCCATGTCAAATCTACTCTCCCACTCATATGTTACACATTTGTTACAAGAAATTTGGAAATAAAGTAACTCATTATAACATTAGTTGTACCACCATTCTGAAATTTACATCACTCATTTTTTTAGTGTCTGTTAAATGCTACGTCAAGTCAACTACGTCTGGTGAATTTCAATCCTAGATCTGAATAAATAAACATACATTAAACATATACACACATGAGTGTCTATGTTTGTGTAATAATTATGTGTAGATATACGATTGAAATTCACGCAGTATAAATAATCAGCATCTAATTGCCCTACATACACACATATATACACATACATACACGCATATACGCCAGGCTACATGTGATAAATACCCGCACGGATCTTAGAAGTAAGATTTCAAGGCACAAAATATGTCTTTAAAGATTATGTCCCCAATTTTGTGGTACTACTCTATATATATATTTCACACACACACACACACACAATTATATATACATACATACTAATGGCAAGTGGTAGAGTTGCAATAAAGTCGAGCCATGTCTTTATTACCTCATAATGATAAATAATAACAATAATAAGGGTAAATTACGTCCACCCGTAAAGTATGACTAAATTACGAAAATCCACTCTTGTTTGGGTAATTACAGTTACACCATTTTTAAAAATATTTTTACATAAAATTTATGTAATCGGTTATTTACCGAACCAAATCGTATATTTAGTTAGGTAACCAGTATGAAATGCTGGCGTACCGAAAATTTAGGTTCGATTTTACCGAATTAACATCTTAAAATTTATCTCTGGAGGGGTCCTTTCGTAAGATAATACATAAATGAGGGGTGGCTGTAATTACCCAAACACGATGAGTGTATTCGTAATTTGACTATAACTCAGGGGTGACTGTATTGCCCTAATAATAATAATAATAACAATAATAATAATAATAATAATAATAATAATAATAATCTTATATATAAAAGAAAGAAACACGGGGAAAAAATGCTAATAATAATAATAAAAAAAAAGAAAAAAAAAAAAAATTGGAATTAATTAAAGATCCCCGTTGTAGGCAAACACTAGTTATTACCATATATAATATCATCATCTTCTCCCACAAACAAAAACTCATCCACACCTCACACTAAATTCTTCCTTCACTATCAACTCTCTCCACTTTTTTTCCCACACTCAGAAAAACTATTTAATTCAATTCAAATTAATTAATTACAAGGTTGATTAATGGTGACCAAAAAGCCCAGAATCGTCATTGTCGGTGCCGGAATGGCCGGAATCACAGCTGCCAACAAGCTCTACTCAGATTCCGCTCAGCTTTTCGATGTCTCCGTCGTCGAGGGCGGGGCCAGGATTGGCGGCCGGATTAGCTCGTCGGAGTTCTGCGGCGACCGGATTGAGCAGGGCGCCACCTGGATCCACGGAATCGAAGGTAGCCCTGTTCACGAAATCGCTCGGCAGATTAATTCGCTCCACTCTGAGCAGCCGTGGGAGTGCATGGACGGGATTTCTGAAGCTCCGGTCACCATGGCTGAAGGTGGCCACGTGCTCAAACCCTCGTTCGTCGACCCCATTTCCTCCCTTTTCAAGAATCTTATGGATTTCGTCCAGGGCAGCCCCGTTGATATCGCCGACGGCGTTGTCGGCGCCGAAATCGCGGATAATTGCGCCGGAAATCTGAGTGTCGGTTCTTTTCTCCGGCGAGGTCTCGAGGCCTATTGGGCCGGCGGCGGCGAAAAGGGTTTGGAAGGGGTGGGGAATTGGAGCAGGAAATCCCTCCAGGAAGCGATTTTTGCGATGCACGAGAGCATACAGAGGACCTTCACTTCGGCGGACGATTTGTGCAGCCTGGACTACAATGCCGAGAGGGATTACGTCATGTTTCCGGGGGATGAGATCACCATTGCCAAAGGCTACTCCACCGTCGTCGAACACCTGGCCTCTGTTCTCCCGGCGGGCATGATTCAATTAGGCCGGGAGGTCGACCGAATCGAGTGGCGAAACGGTAAATCTTCGGAAACCGACGGTGGCCCGCCGCCGGTGAAGCTGCATTTCGTAGACGGGTCGACGATGTCGGCGGATCACGTGATCGTCACGGTGTCGCTCGGAGTTCTCAAACGAGGGATCAACCAAGATTCGAGCTTGTTCGACCCCCCGCTTCCCGATCGCAAGAACGAAGCGATCTCGAAACTCGGGTACGGCGTGGTGAACAAGGTTTTCTTGCAGCTCAGCCCGCCGGAAAATCAAGAACCGACCAACTTCCCGTTCTTGCAAATGGTGTTCCACCCGCCGGATTCGGAGTCGAAAAACCCCAACCTTCCTCAATGGATAAGAAGGACATCTTTCTTATCCCCAATTTACACCAATTCAAGAATCGTCCTGTCGTGGTTTACGGGGCAAGAGGCGCTCGAAATCGAATCTTTATCCGACGAAGAGATCTCGATCGGGTTCGAAAAAACCATCTCGAACTTGTTGTTCGAGACGGAGGGAATCAAGTTCGACAAGGTTTTAAGGACAAAATGGGGCACTAATCCTCTGTTCTTGGGTTCATACAGCTACGTTGCAGTTGGATCGAGTATAGACGATATCGATACATTGGCCGAGCCGCTGCCGGAAAACAAGAATCTTGATTCGCCGCCACCGTTGCCGCCGCTGCAAATTCTGTTTGCCGGAGAAGCTACACACAGAACGCATTACTCAACCACACATGGAGCTTACTTCAGTGGGCTTAGAGAAGCTAATAGGCTTCTTAAACACTATAGTTGTATTGGTATATGAATAATTTAATTTGTTTGTTTGTTTGATTTTGCAATATTATTATTATTAATTAATTATTAATTAGTAGAAACTTTTAGTCATGTTTTCTTGTTTTTAATTTCTTGGCCTTTGAGAAACATATGCTTATTATTGATTTTTGGAAGAAAAAAAATATCTTTGTTAAGGTTATTTGTCTATTTTTTTCATTTTAGTGGAAGTATGAGGACGAAAAGGAAATAAATGTTGGAGAGAGGGGGCATATTGAAAGGGAGAGATATAATGACGTGGACATATTTCATATGTGATGAATTCAAATTAAAAGAAGCTTCATTTTCTAATTCTATTTGTGGATTTATTTCTGCAAATGTGTTGATTTTGATGCTTGAGAGAGAGCAAACAAAGCTAGGTTTGAGATCAAAGTCTTTCACTATCTTACCTAATTAGATGTAAGGATGCTAGTTTTGATTTTGATCAATATGTTTAGGTTTTGATTTTTATCTAATTTAAGTTGATTTGGTCAAAATTTACAAAATTTATCGTTACAGTTCAAACCCGAGTTTCCCTTCTCGTTTGAGTCAATCGATGAACCAATAAACCTAGTCAAAGTAGTTGCTTAAATTAGTTAATGTTTTCTTTCAAATAAGCAGAACAGAGTGTGACAACCTATCTCTATAGATCAAGAACCAATGAGTACGTAAAAAGTTGCATGCAATAGTTCTCAATCGATTTATATCAGTTGAGTCATCAAGTTAACTAATTTCACCCATCTGACCTGAAGCTGACTCAACTAATTTAAATCATTTACCGCAAAGGCGTTGCCCACGTAGTATCGAAGATAGTTATTAGTTAATAGTACGTGGCAAATGTAAGTCATTTATAAGATCAATTTAAAAAAGAACAAAATTATAAAAATTAGTTGACAACACAACTAGTAACATTGTGACAATATATTTCAAAATTGCACCTATATTATATATGTTATTTTATGAAACTTGTGCAAATAATAAATAAAGAAGCTTTAAATTGGGAATTTTGAATTTAGGTATGGAGTGATGAAGGTTTGTTTGTTTATTGGGTCGGTCCATGGACAGGATCCGGGAAACCCGGCTGCCTACTTGCTTTCATTTATCTCTTTTCATAATTCCAGATTCATTTTCATATTGCCATTACATATTTCATCTACATGGACCATTTTGACCTTCTTTATTTAATTAATTTTTGTGTGGTACGTCTTTGTCGTGTCAAATCCATGTTCACTAGTCCCCACTGTTTCTCCAGCAATATATGTTACACTTCACAGCACACACATGTATATATATATATATATATATTGGTAATTTATATTTGTGAAAATTTACCAAAATATATAATAACAGTTAAAAAGTCTGGAGACAGTTGGTGAAATGGTGGAACCGTTTGGAGTGGGACCACCACAAGAGCCATGCACCATAACTGTAGCGTATAATTTCCCTGCAAAATAGAAATGAGCCAAAATTGGGGGCATTGGGATTCACTTAATTGCTTCCTTCCAAAATGTGTCCTTAACTAAGAGACAGTAATCAGCAGATATACACACAGAGAGAGAGAGAGAGAGAGAGAGAGAGAGAGAGAGAGAGAGAGAGAGAGAGAGAGAGAGAGAGAGAGATGCTTTTTGGGCAGTGCATCAAAAAAACCCTTCTTAGGTTTAGACACCCCAAATTGATAGGTCCTCTTTCATCGATCAACCAACTTGTTTGCTTCCCCTTTTCTCAATATTTTTTTTCCGGGGCATTTTCGTCTCGATGCATGTACACTGATGAGAGACGAAACTGCCCCTCATGTCAATAGCCACACATCGATCGAATGTGTGTCTATTGACATTCGAATAATGAAATAAGATTGATCAAGAAATTATTGGCAAGGAGATGTAATCGGACAATGCATGCATGCATACATGTACGCTTTCGTGCTCCACCAACTTAGGCCACTGGTTTTGCTTTTTAGGTAGTAGAGTGTATCTAGAACAAGATTTTTGTTTGGGTTGATGTATGTTTTGTAGGGCATCATCTATCTCTTGGGTGGCATTGAATGGTCAAAATCAATTGAGCTGTTCAACAAGACTCTATTATTGTAATAGAAAAATTGCTTGCTAGGGTTTACCCCCACCCTAAATTTCTTTTTGAAATAAAATATAATAATAAATAAATAATAGGAATAGCCCAACAATTGATGCCTCATGTGGGTTTCAAACTTTCAATAACTCTTTGATGATTGCACATCAATTAAACCTATCTCTCAATCACCTTTTGTTTGATTGGAGCACTATATATATTCCAATCATATTTACTAAATTTAATCTCTTTTCATCATCATTTATTTTTCATTTTTCATTATTTAGTAATGCATCTGTTAAATCAATTCATAGTCGATGGGTTACGCCACTAATAAGAGTACAATATATATATATATATATATATATATATACACACGCGTAATTATGTGTAAAGAATTCAGTCTAACAAAAGATTTTGAACTCAAAACGACACCAATTCTTTCTAACTCTACCAACTAGATCATCTATTGCCGCGTTTATCTTTTTCTATACTTTATCATAACATTAGCGTAGGGACTAATCATTATTATAAATAAACTTATTAGGTAAAGTTTGATAATGGGATGTGGAATTTCATTAACAATTACCCTAAATAGAAACATCTACTTAGTTAATAATCATAATCTAGACTCAAAATTGGCCAATTAACATAAAGCTTTGATTTACCTTTGTAATTATTGATATATTGACAACCAATCCTTCTTTTAAGTAGCCATTGGTTCATAGACACGTATACATTGTGTTGATCAAAGTATAGATGCTAATGTTGCCCCAGATACGAAAGCATTGTTAAGAATAGATCTCTCGTTATCAATAATAATTATTAAAAAAAAATTAAAAAAATAATCAAATCATATATAAAACAAAATTAAGAAAAATAAAAAAGAAAATCTGGAAAACCTAATTATGAGTGGCAACACCGTAAATATAAGGGGGGCGAAGATCAATTTGTTTAAGTTTTATCCACTTCAAATTTCGAAACGTGTCTCTTCAACTTAATTGCATGGGTCCAAAATACAGTAGTATTTTTTTTTTTTTTATTATAACCTATTTTACCTTTGTTTATGTTTATTTAATATTATTTAATAATTAAAATAATATTTTCGACATCTTTCATGATATGACTTTACACGACAAATAACTTAAAACAAATAAAAATGGCCCATGTTTGTGATTTGCAAATCTAAGATTGGCTTCATCGTAATCATATAATATATTTGCCCCACTTTTTATTTTTTATATAAAATAACAATAGAATAAAAAAATAAATATAAATAAAAAATAAAAAAGGGAAGCTTTATTCTTACCATATACAACAGTGACATCTGCATTTCAGACCAATTGCTTTGAGGGTTTTAAGATAACATTAAAATATGTTATCACATTGGCATCAGACCTTACTTTAGAAAGATTTGATGTAAATATAGAAATAAAGAAAGCCCTAAAGCTTCAACATTCAGGCCCCAGTAACAGATTCTAACTGCTTTTCACCACTAACACTACTACCGATACCAGGGGTATAATCGTATTTCTACATTTCAACTGAACCAAACGAAACCGAGACTAACGCAATCGAAACAAATCCATTTTTACGCCTGCCGAATGCAACAATATTAAGGCTTTTACGAATTGTTAGACCCCGCCAACATAAAATGTTCGGTAAGTACTAGGTAGCTGAATCAAATCGGATCTAGATTTTCGGACATCAAAAGTTTAGTTAGCTGAACCAATCAACAATTAGCGTCGAATAAAATCCTACCTCGTCATCTTAAAAGAAAAAACAATTCTTACGAAACAACACTACGCTTGACTGCATTAAATAAAGAGAGACACGAGATTTCATTCAAACCACGATTTTTCTGTCAAGAAGTCGTCTTGGAGCATTCAATCACATGGTCTTTGAATTTTTGAAGCTCAACCAGAACTTCATCCTTTGGCCTGTATAACAGATCGGTCATACGCCACAGCTGCGAAAACATAACAGAGAATCCACGTCATTTGTCCGATAATAATAATAATAAACCCAAGGTGAAAATTATTGTAATAAAAGAAGATGTAATAATTAATACCTGCAAAGTACCACCGCCATTCCATAAGTCTCCATCATCTGACACACTAACAATTGTCCATGGATCATAAGCATTCCAGTGGAAGTCTACAACCTTATCCCTGTAACCAAAAACGACCAAAAAAATCTTAAGCAACGGTTCATAAACAGTTCCAAAATGCTTAGCTGTTAGACTATCGAAAGAGAAATGAAAAATAGAGAACATAAAATACGGTGGAGTTTAAGTTCTAAAAGATTTACATGTTCACATTTTTTTCCCGACATGATATAAGAAGAATAAATAATTGACGGGAAGGTCTAGAGTCATTTTCATTAAACCCATACAACAATGATCAATGATTATTAGTCTACGAATAAAGATTGGAAGGTGGGAAAAGGATGCCAACAGCATATTATGTTGGTCTCATGTTTTTGTAAGAGAATTTATTACATTTTCACGCTTCTATTCATTTTATTCATTATTATTATTATGGCATAATCCTCCAAGTTTCAAATATTACGAAACAATAATGAAGTTTTGTTGCTATTTCTAGTGACCTACTCGACTTCTAGACCTAAATGATGGCCCAAGACAAAAGATGTAATAAGACGACAAGGACGTGCCCCTACATGATTATGCAATGGTAGTCATGCTTCACCGATACGAAGTCAAATAAAAATGATAACATTATAGGCCCAGTTGTAATAATGTTAAGAGGATAGAAGGAAGCATCTACCTGTGGCCAGCATGTTGGAAAAACAACCCGGCTGGACCCTTGGACTCCGTTTCTTCCATTTGACCAATCTGTAACAAAATAAATAGCATGTAAATCAATCAACGGAAATAAAGTTAATAAGCATTTATATCAATTATGATAAGCAGGAAGTTATCTCACTATCAATACTTAAATGGCGCATATAATAATATATTTCCAGAGCACAAATCACACAAATCATTAAAAAAAAAAAAAGGCAGGAGCTTCCCCAACCTTTTCGTAGTCCCAGATATTCAACAAACCATCCTCCGCAGAGCTCCCAAAGACAGATGTTTTGTCAGGTGACCACTGGAAATTTTCAGATATTTAGTTAGCATACATAATAATGAAAACATACTAGATAAAACACAACCAGGTAGGTTAGTGCAGTACCTGGACACAGAGAACAGCAGCACTATGACCTTCAAATTTATGAACGGGCGATCCAATTCCAGCAGAGTTTAGATTGCGGCGATCAAACATGCAAACTGTATGGTCCGCAGATCTGAAATGAGATTGTAGAAATCAGAATTATTGATGCGCTCAAAAGTTGCAAAAGAACGGAATAATGAACTTTTAGCAATAACAATTGAGTCAGAATCTGGACATACCCAGTCAAAATAAAATTGTCATCATGAGAGTTCCAATCCACACAATGAAGATCAGCATTGTGCGCCTTCTCGACCTAATAATTCAAATGAAATTCCGGATGAAGGAAAGCAACTAAATCATATGTAGGAATTGCTTTACATGAAAACAAACAAAGATCACAAACATGCAACAAATAAGATGCACAAAACAGAGAGAGTATTAATAAGAACACAAGCTCCTACAATTTCCATACCCCTTGGTATTCATGATAAAAAAAAAAAAAAAAAAGGATCTCAACTACCCAAAAAAATCCAGGAATAAGTTATATGATCTATCGTGTGTTGTACCGTTTAAACCTGGAAAAAGACTACATTTATCACGTTCCTACTTCACTAGTAACCAGTGGAAACCCACAATGCCGGTAGAGTAACAAAGAATTGCAGTATCTTAACAATACATTATATAAATGGTTAATATAGAAAACACGAAAAGTTAAAATATGCAAACAACACACAATGCAGACAAACAAACAATAAAGTTAAGGGAATCCAGATAGTGATATGAAGTTATCCAGAAGACAGATTTACGATGGACTGATTTAATCTTTTATTGTTGAGAATGTGATCATAGTCTAATTCCAGGCTTCAGCAACCTAAATCCCAATTCGGCATGTTCAATAACTATCAGTTCCGATACACAAAGAAAAAGCATACATATCCAACAATTCATAAAAGGTAAATCCAAGTTCCAACCTTTACAACTGGACTGCTCCCAGTTCTTGCATCCCACAATATCAAACAAGAATCGTCTCCAACGCTACAGAATTGCTGTGAACTGCACAGTGATATAATACCATGTCAAATTAGCAAAGATAAATCATAAAGGGATTAAAATTACTGCATGCTAAGGAATAGAAAAGGCAGTATGCAACAAACATGGAGTACAAAAGAATTTAAAATAAAACAATACAAACCAGATTAACAAATACTACAAAGAAATGGTAAAAGGCAATAGCTAACTTTAAGGCATGACTTCACTAAGCAGATAATGAGCATAAGTTACCTTGACGGGCAAAATTGCACATCCTCAACAGTATCATCGTGTCCTTGAAAAACCCCGCGCGGACCAACAGTAGAATTATCAGCGGCTTTAATAATTGAACCAGCAGATTGGGTTGCTTCTGTGGCCAGCGTTGAAACATGATCCTGAATGCTCCACAACACCACAGATTTATCCTTCCCTGTAAGAACACTCACTATCATATGCTTTTACGAGAAAAAAAATCCAACAGTTACAAGAGAGAGAGAGAGAGAGAGAGAGAGAGAGAGAGAGAGAGAGAGAGAGAGAGAGAGAGAGAGAGAGTCTTGATGAAACACGTTAAAAAAAATTCAAACCTCCAGAAAGCACAAACGGTTCAGCTGGGCACATTGCAAGAGCGAATTCTGCATTTTCTTGGTGTCCAGATAAAACCTGGTAAAGATAAAATTATTTTCTAACATCTTCACGACTTAACCAAATAAAATGCCACAAGCACTATACATTTAAATGTGAACACCATAATCAAGTTGAATACAAAAGAACAACTCTTGAACATGGTAAAACTTGATTATCAAGAAACTATCTGCCAAGTCGAGCCAATGTGAGACAAACCCAAATATCTTTACATTTCTATTTCTTCTAGCAGGCATTTTTTTACAGTTAGATCTTGCATCTAGCTTTGAGCTACAACTATAAGTGGCATCAGTCTCCTACAAGGCTACTAATCAAAGAAACCTTCAACAGACAGACTAGCAATTTCATTCCTTGTGTAATGATTTATGTCATTGTTTAAGTTTAGAAATTAATATAATATTATAAGTTGCACTGTATGCAGGTTTCCACAATACACAACTTAGCAAGGACTCTAATTCTTAACAGCTCCCAGGAAACCAACTCTCAAAGAGTCTCAAACTCGGGGTGAATTTTCGACAACAAAGAAACAAACAACAATTGGAGAAGCAGCAATATTCACAGAACAATAAATGAAATTTACAAAAAGAGGAAAACATAATCAACTAAGATGAAATCAAATATAACAAAAACGTACCAGATCTGGACGAGAATCTGCAGATCCGAGTAGAGCCTGTCGATTAGGTTGCGCCTCAACATCCCAAATAAGAACCTAATATGACAACAGTAAAATAAAAGTCAAAACAAATATTTCAAATTAAAATAAATCATCCAGATTAACAGGTAAGATAAACCCTGAACCAGTCACTTACTTCAGGACAGTCAGTGTGTGTTGCCACTATGTTTTTATTTTGAGGCAGTTCTCTGATTCTGTTTACCTACACAATTATCAAGAAATGGGAGGGTGTGATGGTGTCAGACAAAGAATACCAATAACATTAGTAACATGATGATAACAGCAATATAAGTTACAAAAATAAATTATTCATAGAAGCATAATAAGGTTTCATCTTGATGGTCTTGTACCAAATGATAAACATAATGAACTTGAACATCAGATATCTAATTAGAAATCCTAATCACTATTTTTTACACCTCAATTCCTCAAAATATGCAACCAAACAAAATAACAGACGGAAAAGGAACTATTACTATAGGAGAAAAAGGTAAGTAGTGTGCACACGTGTCAATTAAAATTTATAGGTATACAAATCTGTGTAGCTCATACCTCTCCTGGATGTAAGATAGTCTTGTACTTCTTGACATATGGCGAGCGTGCATCTTCATTGAACTAAAATATGAATTAAATGAAATCAGATAACATAAAATTAATTGGCTCTCAGAAATTCATAAATGATACTAGAGAAATATACATTGGCTATATGATTTTCTGCAGCAACTCGCGGCTTGACAACCTCACAATTTGCTATGATTAGAGTGTTCGGCTGGGTGTGGTCAGTCTGGTAAGAAAATAGAGTCATGAATTAGCTCCAGCATCAATTAGAAGGTAAAAAGGAACACCGAGAAAAATTTGAAAGGATACGGCAGTTATACTTGCATAGCCGGGCCAAATATCGAAAATTAAAAACATAACTACTGCAAGGATGAGTCGGGGCCAGGGGATAGACAACTGCAACAATGCAGTGCAATGATATTTTTTTGCTTTCAATACACATCAAGTAACGAAATACATTACTCCAATGAAAAAGAAAAAGGAGTATGACTTCTCAATTCAAGGTTAACAAAGAGAAAAGCTATATTCTTACAGGAAAAAGCATGTAGTAACAGAAATAGCCCCAAAAGATAAAAGAGTAAAATTGTCAACTCAAACAATAAGAGAAACGAAGATCTGTTAAATCTCAGCCTCGTAAGCAAAAACGAAGAATATACGCATTTTAGTGCATACAACCCAATAATGAAACATGTTAGGTATGGATGATGTGTGTTACACAAAAGTAAACCCAAACTGAATCAATTAGTCCATGTCAATGTAATTAGAACAAAACACTATATGACGTTTAACTCATGCTACAAACATACTAAGCTATTGTTACCAAATACCGAGCACCAGTAAATAAAATCGTGCAGAAATAGAGCAATTGTACCTGTTCAGAAAGGTATAGACGCTGCTTGTTCTTGTAAGTCCCACTCTCAAGAACTGGACCCCAACTGTAACCATGCAACACAGCCGTGTCAATTATAACAGGATTAGGGAATGTTTTCCGATAAATCCACACCACCAAAAAACACCAACACTCACTAATCCGTACTCATATTGTTCACAGTTCAGTTCAAAGAAGGTCCAGTACAATGATTTAAAACTGCACTAATAGTACAACCAGTGACAATAATATAATTGATTTTTTTTAGTGAACTCTTTTCGTTTAACCTGAAGTAAAACAGTTCGAAAATACATAACAAGCATGTTTAAGAAGTTTTCTTCTGTAAAATAAAGTGTCCAGGGTTTCGAACAAAAACCCTAATAAAACCCTGACCAAAAAAAAAGAGGGAAAAATGTAGGGAGTTGTACCGGCAAGAGAGGGAAGGCCAAACTAGGTTATGAGAGGCGAGCCAGTCGTAAAGGACGGGCACCAGCAGTTTCCAATGCGCGTAGCTCTCGTCGGCGGCGGTGTTCTTCTTGTCGCCGCCAGGACCTTTCATTCTCGACGGCGCTCCTCCGCCGGACTCTCTCTCCTTGTCAGCTTTCGCCTTGGTCGACCCTTTCGGCCTCCCGCGCTTCCTCGGTTCGCTCGGCGGTGGTGTAGCTTCCATTTTTTTTTTTTTTTTTTTTCTGAAGTTCCTTTTTCTGAGTTGGTGTGGATTTAAATTAGCAGGAAGAACTGTATAGTAACTAGCAAGTGTGAGTGTGTGACACGGGAGCAAAGGTCTGTTTGGCAGCAGATTTTAGATTACTACTTAAGAAAGAATCTTTACGCTTATCACTATTGACATTTATATATGACTTTATTTATTTATTTATTTACTTTTTCCTTTTTATTTAACCCAAGTATGATTTTAATGTTTATTCATTTTTTAGTAGCTATTTCTCTATTTAATTGTCGTCCTCTTAAAACTTCATTTACATGTAAACCTCTATAAATTAATATAATCCATATGGTACTCATAAAATTCTATTAATTTTACAAAATATTAAATTATCCAAGTAATGATTTAGTATATTTTTACTAAATTGAGACCGAAATTAATTATTATTCAAACAAAATTATTAATTTATCGAGGTTCCTTCCTATACTATGCAGATGTTTTGAACTGGACTTTGCCATTGCAAATTTCGGAGATTCCAAAAGTTTTACAATTACATTATTTTGGAAATTGTTGAAACACGACTTTTTTTCTTAATAACAGATTTGAAACACTAGTTTGATCGAATTAGAACATATTTCGTCGTAAAACTAGTTTCAGAGGATCAAGTGAGTTTTCCACTTTTAATTTACACGCAATCAAACACATACACGACGATGCGTCTACAAAGAGAATTACGGGTAGGATTCGGTATAAATCAACCACATCAATGATTAGGCTAAAACCCTTGTTACCAAAAAGTTCGATCGCATTCCAGTCTGCGCAAATAAGTGTATGCAACTATAACATTGAGTTGGAACGTTTCAGCGTACATTTAACGACATAAATTCATTTCAAATTTTCCTAACATCAGAACGAGTATCTCTCATTAATATTTTCAAAGTCCACATCAACAACATTTGCGGCGACGAAGTTGTTTCCTATTCGATGTTAAGAACTCAAACATAGATGCCAGAAGAAAGCAGCAAGAATAGAGATCCAAAACCCTGCCAAGGGACATAAGAGTCATTTGTCACCATCAATCAAAAAAGATAACTAGCGGCAAATGTACGATATAGATTTGTCGACGTACCAAGAAGACAGATGCAACAGCACCGGTTATCAGTTCCTTTGCAAGACTGCGGTTTTTCTTAGAGGAAGTAGCTTCATAGCTGCATATAATCAATGCACAGATAAGCACAGGCCAACATTGTTAGTGTGTGTGTGTGTGTGTGAGAGAGAGAGAGAGAGTTTCTACAAAATGAACTATGACAGCACAATCGCAGGGTGAGGTGGGTCAATCAGTCAATCAGAGTCAACACGGAACATACACAGAAGACCGTACTCGTTTTCTTGGTAACAAGTAAAACAAACTGACGATGAGTAATAACAGTTTGAGCAAATAGCTCCACTACACAAGCAAATAACTGCTTATTGGGATATAATGTTTTTTTCCCTTAAATCATAACCTTCTCTTATCGTATGCAATGTTCTTTCCTTTATCAGCATACCATTAATAAAAGAACGAGAGGAAAGGCATTACGAAACATAATGAAGTCAAAACTCAAAAGTATTTGAAACATCAAGTTGTAGTCTAAATTTGAAGAGTGACGGCGAAGATGAACTCAAGTGGTTTTTAACACCCAAACAAACTACGTGTGCTAGAACAAATAGAAATTTGAAACATAATATTCTAAAACCATACACTCGACTCTACCAAATGAACTGAAAGGTAAACCGCTCGATCACAATCCGTTCAATGTCATATAATTCTTTTTACCCACTTTTATCATAGGTCGAGTCTTATCTTGTTCTCTATATAACTAAACTGAAGTGCAGAATCGAGTCGTTATACCCCACTCTTCTAATCCTCTTTAAAAACCTCGTACACACAAAGATTCCAAACACAACAATGGTTTTCTATTGAACCCTAAACCAATTAGGGAAAAATTGAAAGAAGAGAAAAATCAAGTCTTTATTAAAAAACCCAGAACCAAATTCCCATATGATTAGAAGCTGGACACAATTTGTAATGATTTCCCTGTTGCGATCAATCCCAGGTAAATGAAATCTCACACGAGAAGAGAAAATCGTGCAATTGACAACATCATAAAATAGTTTAATGCATAAAAATCAGATCCAATTTCGATAATCAGGGTTACGGACAACAACAACTGAAAACAAATCAAAATTCAGGTAATGGATCAACATACATGAAGAAAGAGGCGGTGATAACGAGGCCGATGACGAGCATGAAAACCGCGAGGGTCGGGTACCACACATCTGGAACTGGGCTTGAGATCGGTTTCGCAGATTGAGCCTTTACCAAAACAAAAAAAAATCAAAAAATCAAAATCGAAAATGAAGATGAAATTAGAAGGATTTCACAATTAAATCAAATCAACCAAATGGTGAATAAATCGAAAGGGAGAGGACAAAAAATACCATTTTCTGGAGAGTAGTAGATCTTCAGCTCCACTCAATTTACTCTGTTTTCTGTTCTTTTAGGTTTTCAACCATTTTATTCAAGGCAAAAATACACACTACTCTTGAAATTTGAAAACGTGTCTTTCAAACACGTTTTTTAAGCTGGGATTAAACACTTTTTCTATTGGGTAAATTACAACCACCCCTGAGTGTGGTCAAATTACGAAAACACCCCTCATGTTTGAGTAGATACAACCACCCTCAATTATGAATCTTCTTACACGTCCCACCTTTGCGTCCTCAAATTTAGTGGAATCTTCTTGATTATATGGAATGTTCTCAATTTTGTACTCATTTTATCCCTTTCGAGCTCCACATTTTGAAGCAAGATGATCATAAGATGTATTTTTTGTCAGATTGCGGTACATCAGAAACTGCATTTTGGACAAATCGAGTATTATAAACTTCTAAAAGATTACGTTGAATTTGACACCATAAGGGTGGATGTGTAGGAAGATTCATAGTTGAGGGGTAGTTGTAATTAACCAAACATGAGGAATTTTTTCGTAATTTAAGCATATATCATAGGTGGTTGTAATTTACCCTTTTTTAGTTAATTTTAATTTTTTTTTTTACATGGATGAAAAATCAACATCAGAAAAGTTTGTACAAACTTTAGCTTCATATATTAAATGATCCAAAAGCAGAACAAGTTAACACTAAAATCCCATAATCACTTTCAACCATGGATTATGCAGATAAACGTCATATAATCAACAATAACAAGACTCTGCTTGTAGTATGAAAATATATATAAGAATCAAGCCCTAGTTCACATCAATAAATCACAGAATCAAATCTTGGCTCGTAGAAGCAGACTTGACTGTTATACGATTGAAGCGCACACCCCGCGATCCAAGACCACACCTTCTTATCCACGTCGTATAGAAGACCTTTCCCTTGGTTCCAAGACGTGAAACATATCAAATTATCCTGCGCAAAGCACTCGAATCTCTCAGCAGACAGCCTCAAAAGAGCTCGGAAATACCTAGGTGGCATTCTACTAACCTCGGACCAAACAAATTTCGTCTGATCGAGCTCCCAAATCCTCATGCTCTGCAGAGTACTATAAAGCCCAATTCTCCCAACTAAAAATAGCCGTTTTTGAGTTCCGGCCACTAAATACCCGTCCAATAAAGATCGAGGGAATTTCGCGGGTATGTGCTCCCACTGCCCTGTATCTAGTCTATACATCATCAAACCGAGCGGTGAAAGTGTCTCCATGTACAGCCTCGAGTCGCAAAACGCCATCTTCGACGAGCAGAGGTTGACAGCTGGCATGGTTTGGTGGAGCGACCATTTGTCTGTTTTCGATTCGTACACTTCCGTGGGCAATGATCTGTCGCCGTAAATGTCGGAAGTGGCTATAACTTTGAAAGATTTCTCTTTTCGATCTGCCACCATAATCAGCTGCCTCTGCTGATTGTAGTGCAAGCTCGGTAGAGTCCTCCATGTTTGTAATAATGGGTTGCAAACTAATGTCTTGAATGTTAATCCGTCCAGCCCTGAAAAACAGACGAGCCCACCTGAAGAACCGACCAACCAGAAAGCCCACGGGGGTAGAAACGTAAATGGGATCCGAAACCACTGTTTTAATGGCAAGCTGAAAACGGAGCATTGTGGTGTTTGCGAATTTTTCCAGTAGGTTAGTAGACAAGGGCCATGCGATCGGGCCTGTGAGTGGAATTTCAAGAAGCTGTTATCCTGTAAAATTGAGTTCCATCTTTTGCAAATGGAGCGGAGCTTAAATATGGTGAATGGAGGAATTCTAGCTAGGATTTCGGTTAATAAATCTTCTGGAAGATTGGCCCATATGTTATCCTCCATTTGAATTTCGGGGTGAACGGACTTGCAGAAAGTGGCTAGGGTTTCTTCGTCTAGCCCACGCGGTTTTGTCTTGATTCTTGAAGGGCTTGTGTTTCGTGATCCCATTCGACTAAGAGGGCTCGTGTTTCTACTTCCACTGCCGCCGAAACTCGCCTGGCGGTGAAAAGATTCCTCCTCGGAGAACGAACTGCTTCTTACCAATCTGCATGTTGATGATGGTGTTCTAGAACCAGATTCAGAAGCTTCCCCAATCTCAATCATTGCTCAAAATTGCTCGCTCATGAACCCTAGTTAGTTCCCCAAACAGCTTTAAACAGTTGAATTTTGGGAAATTAGTAATTCCAAATTACTCATTTCAGATTACTGACTGAACAACCAAAATTCCAAACACCTGTAAATTAGAAATCCAGACAAATTGAACAAGTAAGCAATCGGATGAAGAAGACCTAATTACATAAACAAATGTAAAAAAAAATCCCCAAAAACCAAATGCTCAGATGAAACGATTCGTCAACCAGATCCAAGTTCAATACTACATACAGTAAAATAAAAAATCATTTCAGCAGAAACATTGCACCATTGATGCAAAACCTACAGAAGAAGCAAAAAAAAAATTAAAAAATAAAGAGCGATGGGTTACCTTCAAACGGTGGTTGAATGAAATCGATTGTTAGTGGTAATGAATGCACAATCACGAAAAAAAGTTCTTCTTTCTTCGTTAATTGGGGTTTCGAAAAACTCAAATCTATACATACATGGCTGCCTCTCACTCTTTGACTTGTTTTGTACGTATATATTTCTTTTCCACTCTGCGTACGCAGCTGGATATTATCTCTATTCTTCTTCTCTGTGATTTTATTTTTAGGGGTATATCCGGAATATTTAATTTAGTTTCTACAAATTATTTAATCTATTAATAGATGCTTTCTCAAGGGAAAAACATAATATGTAAATAATAATTATTCACATAAAAAAAAAAAAATTATACATAATTTTTTGGACCTACTTGTAGAAAATAAAAATGAAATATACATTTTCATTATTGCACAAGTGTTCACTTACTAAATGACAATAGATTTGATTTTATAAGCAAAGGAAGTCCAAAAGTTGTTGGCCTTTGGCATATTTTAAAAATACCCGACGAACTCGAACTAAAAAGTGTTCATGAAGAAAATTCAAAATTGGGTCGAATGACAATGTGCTCTCTCATTCCAACGACTATATATAGGGTTGTTCATGGGTCGGGTCGGTTGAATATCGGCCGATTATCGGCCCGACCCGACTAACCGACTATTGCAAATATGCAAAACTATAACCGGCCCGACTATTGTGGGTCGGGTAACGGTTGGCAACCGACTTTGTCGGTTGCCGAAACAGTTCGG